TGGGCACAGGTTAGGGGAAGATGTGCGAAAACCGGCCGAGTGTGAATCAAGATCCCCGTGACGGTGGATACTGGCCAGGCTCGAATGCCAAGCTTCGAGGAATTCTCTCGCTTATTTCGTGGTAGGGCTAACATGGCGATCACCAAGGTGCCATCCCAATGGAAGCGGTGATCAGACTCAAGGGGGTACGCAAATACGAGTGATAAAGGGTCCCGTCGGAGAACGGCTAACTTACGTTCCTTGATGCGAGTCTCAATGTAGCGCGCATAGGTAGAAGGTCTTTAGTTATTCCCACTGGAATAGCCGTTGTTCTGCTAATGAACAGCAATTTAGAGGTGGTCACGAAAGTACAAGACGTCATTAAATGCTACTAGTCTCGCGGCCTTTGCCTTGTTCACAAGCCAGAATTGTTTATGTGCCTCCACCACCACCCCACCGGCAGGGCAGTGGAATAGACGGGGGCCCCGTCTAATACAGATGACATTGCGCAAAGGTACCTATTTATGTGTCCTAACCCGTAGAATGGCCATAACCTAAACCCTAACACTTACGCTAATCCTAAATTTAACCCGAACCCCTAAGTTGCCCGTGCTTGGACATAAATCGACTTTTATTGCAGGATCTTCCTATTCCCCTGTCTTGCCAGGTGCGTTGCACACACGATCCCTACCGAAACTGAAGCTTCAGACTTCTAATTGGCCAGTCAAAAGAAGGCCTATTCTTCCGAAATTCTAATTCGGAATTGTGCAGATGGTTTGCAATGGTGGTTTATGAACCACACTAACTCGTTTCGGCCATCTAAATCTTCGTGAATTCGGCAGATTTTACTTAAAGCGACTGCAGTACTATTTACGAGGAATCTATGAGTACAGTAAACTCCAGTAAAATTTTAGCGTATCTTTGGGTTAGCCAGTTGTAGTCGGGGGCTGTTTAACAATAACGATTCGACATATGAATAACACAGCCAAAACCGAGGGGAGGGTTAAGACTCCTTGGTGAGGAGAAACCAGTTACCTTATCAGTACTGCGGTGGGTTCTTAGCAACTAAGCTCTGCATACTTACCTCTAGACTCTGTCTAAGGTTTGTATAAGTTGTCTTCAAGTTGTTGAGGAGGCCTTCATAGTGGTCCACTTCAGTAGACACTTCTTCCAGTTTGCGGAGTTGGGCTGACAGGACTTGTGGACAACCGGTGGTAGAAAGGCGGCGAGTTCGTTCGACACTATCCAGTAGGTCTAGCGCCTCTTGCATCCACCTGACAAGCTCCTTCCGCGTCTTGAGGCAGGTCTTGAACTGGTCAAAGGTGTCCACCAATACGTGAATACTGTCAAAACATAAATAAAGACACACCGGATAGAAGAACGATCACGGCTTCAAAGTCCAACAAAAGGGAATAGAAACGG